GTTTGGGATGACTCCCAGGTGAAGGGCTCCAGTTCACTCTGATTTTAACTTTTTATAAGCTGTCATTAAGCTTCACCATGTTGCTTTGCTTCTGGGAAGCGTTTAGTCATTTCCTAATTTAATGATAGACGTCCTTAGCCCTAGAAATTTATAATGAAACATTTCCAATTAGAATTCATTGGGATTAATGCAAAATAGGAGTTAGAACATTTTGCAATAGTATTTATTTAGTGTTCTCAAATAGATCCGGTCAGACAGAGGACTATGGGGGAGGGAGCCTTTATGCCTCGGGCACCCTTGTGGGGGAAGGCTGTGAGCAGCATACTGGTTTGGGGCTTGTGAGCAGGCTCCATGGAAGGTGGATACAGTATCTTTTCATGTTGATCTTTCCCGGCCAAGTTAGGACTCGCTCTTCCTAGATAATACACTGCTCAATTTTTAGTTTATCTCCTCCGACTCCCTGTATGTTCTGGGTGAAGGTTTCAGTGTAGCCAGGTTTACTTCTATCTGATTTTGTTTTTGTTCTCAGGAAGATTATTATTATTATCCAGTTGAGAATATCTCTGAAGACCAGAAGTTTTTAGGGGTGATGAGTGGTCTTTGAATTAGAATTATATATAAAATGTTTCTGTGCATGTGCAGTTTTCTGGAGCCTTAGCTTTGATCAGAGTCTGGGAATCTGCAGTCCCCCAAAATGATTGTTTTATTTTTAGTTTTTAAAAAGATTTTAGGGGCGCCTAGGTGGCTCAATCTGTTGAGCATCTGCCTTCAGCTCAGGTCATGATCCCTGGGTCCTGGGATCGAGCCCCACATCGGGCTCCCTGCTCAGCAGGGAGCCTGTTTCTCCCTTTCCTGCTTCCCCTGCTGTGCTCTCTCGCTCTCTGTCAAATAAAATCTCTTAAAAATTCTTTTTTTTTTTTTAAAGATTTTATTTATTTGACAGAGATAGCGAGAGCAGGAACACAAGCAGGCGGAGTGGGAGAGGGAAAAGCAGGCTTCCTGCGGAGCAGGGAGCCCGATGTGGGACTCGATCCCAGGAACCTGGGATCATGACCTGAGCCGAAGGCAGACGCTTAACGACTGAGCCACCCAGGCGCCCTCTTAAAAATTCTTAAAAAAATAAAAAGATTTTTTTTTTTTAAGTAATCTCTACACCCAATGTGGGGCTCTAATCCACAGCCCTGGGAGTAAGAGTTGCATGCTCCACCAGCTGAGCCAGCCAGGTGCCCCCAAAATGAGTGTTTGTTTGTTTGTTTATTTTAGAAAGAGTGAGAGCATGGGTGAGCAGGGGGAGGGAGAGAGAGAATCCCAAGTAGACTCCCCGCTGACGTGGAGCCCAATGTGAGGCTCGATCTCAGGACCTTGAGATGATGACCTGAAACCAAGAGTCAGATGCTTCACTGACTGAGCCCCCCAAAATTGGTGTTTTAAAAGATTTTGTTTATTTGACAGAGAGAGAGACAGCGAGAGAGGGAACACAAGTAGGGTGGGTGGGAGAGGGAGAAGCAGGCTTCCCGCAGAGCCAGGGAGCCCGATGCGGGGCTCGATCCCAGGATTCTGGGATCATGACCTGAGCCGAAGGCAGATGCTTAACGACTGAGCCACCCAGGCGCCCCAAAATTGGTGTTTTAAATCAGGGTTTTCGGACTTGACTCTGGCATTTGGTGCCAGGTTGTTGGGGTCTGTCCTCTGCCTTGTAGAATGTTTAGAAGCATCCCTGGTCCCTGCCCATTAGATGCCAGTAGCTCTTCCTCTCCCAGTGAGGACAACCAAAAAATATCTCCATACATTGCCAAATGTCTCCTGGGGGTTTGTGGGGAAGGCAGAATCAACCCCAGTTGAGAAACACTAGTACGCACCCTTTTTTCAATAGACATGATTTTTTAGTTTTTTTGTTCACGGGAAAATTGAGCAGAAGGTACAGAGTACCCATATATTCCCTGCCTCCACACATGCATGGCCTTCCCACTACAAAACAGCCTTCCCCACCAGAGTTACAGCTGCGGAACCTACACTGACACATCATACTCACTCACTCCTTAGTCTCCACTGGGATTCACTCTTGGTGTTGTGCCGACTGTGGGTTTGGACAGATTGGTAATGATGCATATCCACCATGAGAGTAGCATGCAGAGTAGCTTCACTGTCCTAAAATTCCTCCTCCCCTTCAGTCCCTGGTGACCACTGATCTTTTGACTGTCTCCATAGTTTTGCCTTTTCCAGCATGTCACATAGTTGGAATCCTACGGTATGTAGCCTCTTCAGACTGGCTTCTTTCACTTAGTCATACGCATTTAAGTTTCCTCCATGTCTTTTCATGCTTGATAGCTTATTTCTTTTTAGCGCTGAATAATATTCCAGTGTTTGGATGGACTACACATTGTTTATCCATTTACCTGCCAAAGGACATCTTGGTTGCTTCCAAGTTTTGGCAGTTGTGAGTAAAGCTGTTATAAACATTTGTGTGCCAGTTTTTGTATGGAAATAAGTTTTCAGCTCCTTTGGGTAAATACCAAGGAGTGCAGTTGCTGGATCGTATGGTGAGACTATGTTTAGTTTTGTAAGAAACTGCCACACTGTCTTCGAAGTTCGTTGTATACCATTTTGCGTTCCCACCAGCAGTGAGTCAGAGTTCCTGTTGCTCCACATCCTTGTCAGCAAGCAGAGTCCTGGATTTTGGCCATTCTAATAGGTATATAATGGGATTTCATTGTTGCTTTAATTCGCATTTCCCTGGTAACAAATGATGTGGAGCATCTTTTCATATTCTTTATTTGCCATCTGTAAGTCTTCTTTAGGGAGGTGTATGTTTAGGTTTTTGGCTCATTAGTTTACATCTTTTAACTAGTTTGGAATCATTTAGGGTGTTCTCTTCTGGCACGGTCGTGGGGGTAGGGGTGGGGATACACAGCTGTTTATGGAGTTTGAGCACAGAGCTCCAGTTTATAGCAACAGGAAAGATTTCAGGGTTGGGTTGAGTGGGGCAAATGTTGTAAAATATATATATATTTTAAAATGTTTTTGAAATATTTAAAACATGTATTTATACACATACGCAGAAAATAATCCCAAACACATACTGCTGTATATTAAGAATGTCACGGATATTGAGTCATTGCAACAACCCTATGACTGTCCCCATTTTTTGGATACATAGAGGCTTGGAGAGGTTAAGAAATTTGCCCAAGGTTATAGTTAATGAATGGCAGGACTGGAAATTGAATATAAGTCTCTCTAGTGGCAACTCAATTTGTCTGTGTTCTCAACCCTTGAAGTGGTGTGAGAATGTCTTCCCATGCCAGCAGGCCAGACCCGTGTCACCGTGGCATTGGCCAGCATAGAAGACATGGCACCAGTAGGGAATTCATGGTTGCTAGAATGTTTCACCAAACAGAACAAGTGCTACACCATTTCTGGGGTGAGTGAATGTGCGTGTGTCTTTGTAGGGTCGTAGCCACTTTGTTGTGTATCCCAGAATAAATTGTCCCTGATAACCACCTTCAACAGGGGGCAGGTTTGTTGTTTCTTTTTAAAAAACAGCCTGCTCTGTATGTCCAGTCAGTTACATGGGAATGAAAGAGCCTCCAGTTAACTTGATGTGTTGGTTCTTTGGTGAAATAGAGTGGGTCTTTGTCCCATAGCCTGTTTGTGGTTAATACCCCTGGAGTGTAGATGGTCATATTCAAAGGTTCTTTTTCATTAGTCGATTATGGCATTTCCAGGATTACTTTATGTATTTTATGAAGATTCTTCAGTGTGTTGATTTCGGTCTTTCAAAAATTCTGAGATTGGTCTGGGCATATGAGAACGGTGCCTCTGATGGGCAGTGTCGGCTGCCTCAGCTATACTTCTCGGGGCGGGAGCTGTGTGCCGTGGTCTTCCCTGCTCTGCCGCAGCCACCTTACTCACCTTTCTTGTCCTACCTCCTGAGGCCTAGCCTTTTGTGTCGCAGCCCGCTGGGCACTGAATTTACTCTCACTTTACCCCCACTCCGTTCCTTCCTCCTCCTCCTGCCTCCATTATTGATCACATGTTGATGATGACTGGCGCGTGGTGGCTCTGAGTAAATATTTGCAGCCTGAATGTCCAGTGAGACGAGTCCTGGGGGCACACAGTGTGGTCTTTATCCTCCTGGGTCCTTGCAGCAGCAGTGACCCCAGTTTGCTACACTTATCTGCTCTGCAGCTGGAGCCACCTCTTCACTGGAGATGCTCCGGGTCTCGGTTGCCTTCGCAGGGGACTGGCACCTGGGGATACGTCCCAGGCTTCAGTTGAATGACAAGGACTTTAACCTTGGTGCACATCTTGCCACTTGTTCTTTGCCTGGCTTTGTCCCTGGCCTGGAGCTCATCAAGGAACGTGGCTCGAATGTCCAGGACAAAGCCTAACTTGGCTCGAATGTCCAGGAGAAAGCCTAACTTGCTGCTCGAGCATGCTCCCTTGCAGGGCCGATCAGGAGGTAACACATTTGCATCTCCCGTGGTCCGTTGAATTGGAAAAGGAAAGCCGAGGGGGCTTTGAGGTGTGGTTGGAACTCTGGCCCACTTGCCACTTTGAGTATCTTCCACACATCTCCACATGAGATAGATGGTACTGTCACAGAGCCCATCCCCCCACTCTCCAGGGGAGGTGTTGGAGGGCCCACTGCGGGCCTGCTTGGTGTTAGAATATCCGGGGGGGTAGGTGGGAGAATACCCTGGGCAAGCTGAAACTGCAAGGACGCTTTCCCCCTCCCCCCCAATTTTATTTATTTATTTGAGAGGGAGTGAGCACAAGCTGGGGGGTGGGGGAGGACAAAGGGAGAGGGAGAAGCAGGCTCCCTGCTGAGCAGGGGGCCCTTGACGAGGGGCTCGATCCTAGGACCCTGAGATCATGACCTGAGCCCAAGGCAGATGCTTAACTGACTGAGCCACCCAGGTGCCCCAAGGATGCCTTTTAAAAAGGGGTTTCAGTGTTTCTGTTGGCAAAATGACCCAGAACTTCTGTTTCTCTTTTCACAGAGTGACCAGCAGCTGGACTGTGCCTTGGACTTGATGAGGCGCCTGCCTCCACAGCAAATCGAGAAGAACCTCAGCGACCTGATCGACCTGGTACGAGCTTTGTTCATATGGTTTCCTTTGGGCTGTGGCTCATAATTGATTGACTCTGTGTGCCTTTTTCCATGCGGTGTTCCAAACCCAGAAGAAACCTCCCACCACCGCCACGACCACCACCGAGTTCTGAGAGTCCTCCCTTCTGTTGTCTCTCAGAGCCAGCTGGGTTAAGAAAGCCCAAGATAGGAGCTCGGAAGTTGATCTGTGTCCCCTTGCCCCAGCTGCATGTTTTCAGTCTCCAGAAGCTTGCATTTCAGCACAGGGAGGAAGAGGCCACACACACCCAGTGGGCATTCAGCAGTGCCTGGTGCCAGGCTTCCTTCATTTCTTTGCTGTTGTGGAAGTCCCTCCAGCCAAGACAGTACAAAATCTACCCTATAAAATAGTTCACGGGGCTTCACTTCCACTTTGACCAGTACAAAACACAAAAGTCAGCTGTCAAAGAGCTCATCACATCTATTTTTTAAATCTATATTTTTTTAAAATTCAGAATAATTGGTCTCAAAAGGATGCCTCAGATTAACTGGCACCATAATATTATTTGAAATGCCTCAAAATATTTAAGTAAAATCCATAAAGCTATGGAAAATATTAAAAAGAAGTAAGATAAACTAAAATCAGGCCCCAAGAGGCCAACTGAGTTACTAGCTTATTTGGCCAGTGCGTTCCAGCTCTGGTGCCGAGTCAGTCCTCTGTTGTGTTTGCTGCACCTGTCTCCTGGGATGTGATGATGCGCTGTCAGCCATGGCTCGGTGATGAGGTGTCTTCTGCAGAATGGTTTGAAAACGTGTCCGTATGCCGTAGTGATGCTTCATTCCACCGTCTGACTTGAGAGCGATGGTACTAGGAGAAGCATTCTTGCAGGAGACTCGCGTCATTCAGAGAGAGGACTTTGCAGCTGTCCACGGCCTGTCATCACAACCGCGCGCGCGTCCTTACAGGCACCGCCGGACGGGGTGGGGGTGAACACGCCAGCCTGTGCTGGTGACACTCCCGCAAATGAGGAGGGGGAGGTTTCTTGAGGTCAGTGGCCCTGATGAGAAAGGCAGCCACAGGTCCTTGTGATGAGAGGAAGGTAGACCTAAAGACGTGATGGGTCCCGGCCTTCACGACGTGTGAGGTGAGTGTGAAAGGAGAGAGCGTAGCCTGTCTTGTGTGCAGAATGGGGTGAGAACCAGAGTCAGGGAGGTGCCGTCAGCCCCCACGGTGGACTGAGTGCTGGCGAGGGCTGTGATGGCAGGCCCCGTCTGGAAGGGCAGTGGCCCCTTTGCTCCAGCTGCTCACCGTTGCCCTGTGGGAGGACGATCCTCTGTGACTTGTTTTCCGACTTTTCTGGAGAAGCCGTACTTTTGGAGTTTGAGTGAGACCTGGTTTTTCAGCATCGGCCCAAACATGGGATTGGTTAGATCTGGTTTTGTATAGCATGTGAGTTGGGGGCTGGGGTGGGTTAGGTGGGGGGTGTTGAGCGAAAGCAGTCTTTGCTGGGAAATCCTTTTTTTTTTTTTTTTTTTTTTAAGATTTTGTTTATTTATTTGACGGAGAGAGACACAGCGAGAGCAGGAACACAGGGGGAGTGGGAGAGGGAGAAGCAGGCTTCCCGCGGAGCAGGGAGCCCGATGTGGGACTCGATCCCAGGACCCCGAGATCATGACCTGAGCCGAAGGCAGACGCTTAACGACTGAGCCACCCAGGCGCCCTTCGCTGGGAAATCCTGACGTACACAGTTGGACAGTTGCAAGGGGTCCTTGCAGGTCAGAGGGAGGGCTTGAACTTGGGGCTTGTCACGTGGTTATTGTCACCGTCCCCCACTCGCTGAGCCTGGTGCTCACTGCACCGTGCTGCGCAGTTTGCTTGCTTGGCCTGATGTGACTCCCAGCCCTACAGGGCAGCGGCCTGGGGAGTGCTGTATTGCTTCACGTTTCTCTTGGTCAGAGATTTTTGCTTGATCGTATGTGGCAGAGGTGGGCGAAGGCTGGTGGTGGGATCCGATCCCTAATTGGGTCAGCGGCAGAGGCTTCTTTGTCTTTAAACTCAGCATGAAAGCATGCTTGGCTGAGTTTAAACCTAGTGTGCCAATTTAGCTATTACTGTATTTTGGAAATCAACCAAACAGAGAAGAAATGATGAGTCAGTTTTTCTCAGGAGACCCTTCTTGGTGTTCAACAGGCTGTTTTGTTCTTATGGCAGTGGAAGTGTGTTTTCTCTGTGATCCCCCTGGTCAGTCTTTATCTCGGAGATGGGCACAGAGCTGCTTTTATGGGAACCCGGTCAGCTACTGCCTCTGCTGGGTCTGGCACAGGTACTTGGGCCCGGCCGGAAAGCCGCAGCACTGATGGTGACTGAAGGAGAACCTTGGGAGCTGTCTCTCACCTCAACCACACACCGGGTGCTCCCCCAGGTCAGCCCTGGCATGCGGTTTGCAGAGGCTCCTTGGGCCCCGCTCGAAGTACCACACTGTTCCTGACGTTGAGGGGGGATGTGCTGTGTGGCCTCCCACAGGTTACTGTCAGAATGCACTGCCTTTTGCCTTGCCACTTTGTCTTCTGCAGAATGTGGCTGGAGAGGGGGATGGAGGCAGACCTAGGTTGTGGGTTTGACAGCCGACAGATGCCAGCACCTGCCGTGTGCCCAGGACTGAGCTGGACGCGGTGGTTTGTGTTAGTGCTTCAGCGGGTTTTCACAGTCCCCCTTGAATGTACCTAGGACCACTTTACCTCTTGTGTATGAGTGAGACTCTCAGGAAGAAGCCAGGCAGCTCCAGGAGTCCCAGTTCCTTCTGCAGGGGTAACTCTGCTGGGCCCCTTTGCGTGACTCGCTCACACCCAGAACAACAGATTAAATGCGGTATGTCTTCCTGATGTGTCCGTCTGAACTGTTAGGGGGCAAAGTGTTAAATAATTCATTAGTAATCTAAAATATTAAAACATCTGCTTTATGGAGAATAATTTAGAGTTCCTGTAATTAAAAACAACAGCAGCAGTTCTAGAGACCTGAAAGACAGCCCCTCCTCAGAGCCGGACCACGTGGGATTAGCAGTTCACTTTTGTCCATCGCTCCATCGGGGGGCTGGAGAGGCGCCGACTGCCCCTCGCCAGGTTGTGTGGAGGCCAGCCTTGGGCCCCTTCTACCTCCTGAGGCTGAACAGGAGGCCATAGTAGATTCCCATCATCGAGAATGGGCTGGGGAATCAGTGTTCTCATTAATATTTTAATTCGAAGTATGATGAATGTCAGAATGGAAATGGAGCATGGCTCTTCGCCGAATTAGGATCTGGTAAAGCACACCTCGTTAAAACTCTACTGACATGCTTCAAAAGCCACTTTTTGATTAATGGCCTTGCTTCAAGGTCCCTGCTCTGCACCATAGTGTATGAGGGGCATTTGGGCTGGTTTTGTACAAGGTCCTATGACCAGTCCTAGAAATTACTTCTTTGAATGTTTTCCTTTCGTTGCTGCTATTTTTCTTCTCTTTGCCCTGGGAATGACGGGGGGTTTTTTGTTTTGTTTTTAACTGGGTCTGCAGAATTCCATCGTTCCTTTCAGAGTTGGTCCATGCTGAGTGTACTCCTGTGTCTCTGAAGTTCACTTGCAGTTTTATTTCTTCCCAGAGCTGTGATTGCAGAAAACTCACACCATTCTGGGTCCATCTAGGAGCAGTGGGTCCAGGCCTTTGTTTCACGTAATCTGGGATCAGTCAGATGTTTTCAGAGCAGCGAATGCACTGCTCGGTACAAATTGGAGTCATTCCTCCCATGCTCACCTGCCTAAAATAATGAAGGGGAGGTAGTTGTTTTCAAGAAAAGTCTCCAATTTTAAGACTGACAAGAATGTTAGGATTTGCCAGCATTCTCCGTGAAGGGAATGGCCACGCTTAGATGTTGGAGCCAGAGAACCATAGGGGAATTTATCTGGTCCACCAGCGGTCCAGTTACAAAGTCGTAGGATAGAGAAATGCAGCGTATGCTTGGCAGCCAGGCCAAGGCAGCCCAATTTATCATGCCAGATGAGCTTTCCTTCTCTCTTTTCTTTCCAGCATCAGAGCTTTTGCTGCCTTGGGATTATGGTGCATGCTGGGATTGGTGGGAAATGACCTTCCTTTGCAGATGGCCAGAACATCATTTTATTACATATTAATCCCATTATACTACAGTGAAGCCAGCTGAAATCTGTTAAGCCATTTCAAAAATACCCACTTGTCCATGTGGGCCAAGAATCATATGATGTTTAGATGCTCCCTTGGCTTCCTACACTTTGACCTTCTATGGCTTTACTCTGCACACTGGCAGTAATAGCCAAAACTTGGCTGGGCTGTATTTTGAGCCCTGAGCTGAGGAAGGAGTTTGTTTCTGCAAATTGGCATCCAGCAGGCCATCCGTCCTTTGCCCTTTTTAAGAGCAGACCAAAAATAGCCCTAAATCTGTTTAACCAGTCAGGAGAGTCTTTGCCTGCAAATGTTAGTTATTTCATTTTTAATTCATTCTCTCTGCTGTAGCCACCCAAAGGTCCATCTCGTGGGTGTCCCCAGACCTTACTCAAGTGTGGGAGAGGGCATCAGCTGGGAAAGCCCCTGAACCATCCTGGCCAGGCCTGTGAGTTAGAGGTGCTTCGACCGGGGAGCTGAGAAGTGTGGTTGGTTTTCATGGCAGCATATCCTTCTTCTTCGTAGCAGCCAGAATTGCCCTCCAAAAATAGAAAGGGCCAGCTGGGTGCAGGGTTTTGCCCTGCCGGTTCGGCAGGACCTGTGTTTCGAATGGCTTGCAAAAACCATCGACCTCTTGGCAGCGCGAGGGCTGCAGGGAGCATGCGATTCTTCAGGCCTGACCAGTCAGAAGGCTGGAGTGCACGGGGTGTACTTGGTCACTGGGGGCCCAGCGGATAAGCTTTAAGTCTCCAAGAACCTGCACTCCATGAAGCAGCCGGGGGAGCCAAGCTCCACACATTTTGTGATTGCTGAAATGAAGGCGAATATTGTATTTCACGGTTCATTAATATTGTTAT